CCCCTACTCAGGCAGGAAGCCCTATACCATTCCAGACAAATGGTTGTCCATTCTCTTCTTGTAAACCTCCAGTAATGAAGCACCCACAACTTCTGGAGGCAGGTTGTTCCACTTATTAATTGTACCCACTGCCAGGAAATTTCTCCTTAGTTCTAAGTTGCTTCTCTCTTTGATTAGTTTCCACCCGTTGCTTCTTGTTCTGCTCTCAGGTGCCTTGGAGAATAGGTTGACTCCCTCTTCTTTGTAGCAACCCCTCAAATATTGGAAGACTGCTATCACGTCATCCCTGGTCCTTCCTTTCATTAAAATAGACATACCCAGTTTGGCAACCATTCTTTATAAGTTTTAGCCTCCAGTTATGAGTTGACTGCCTTGAGTAAACTCCCTTTCTTGAAGGAAGAGGTTGCGTTCAAAGATGAAGCTGAATTCTTCAGGAAAAACAGGATTTCTTTTATATGTTATATGTCACTTCAGTTGAGATGAGAGGCTAAATTCTCTTCTCTCCTTTGTAGCCAGATTTGCTGAACTTCAAAAAGGGATGGCTGACAAAACAGGATGAAGATGGGCAGGTACGTTTTGGGGTGCTGTTTACCTGGGTGAACCACCGTAGATGGGATTGCACCTCGGAGAGAGTAAACTTTGAAAACCAATCTAAATTTTCAAGCTATTTTTGCCTAGATTGGATGCAGACGTTCTCTCAGCATAATGTTGGTAGAATCCTGCCCAGTATAATGATCACACCCACCCACCTACCCCCTCCTACCTATCTAAGAAACCAGGTTTCCCATCTTAGGAAGGAAAAATGTCTATAAAATGGCTTGTATTCTTCTTGTTGTCGTTGTTTTTGTAGTGGAAGAAGCATTGGTTTGTGCTGACGGACCAGAGCCTGAGATACTACCAGGATTCAGTGGCAGAGGAGGTAGGTTGAGGTGGAGACCAAAAACTAGACCTTGGTGGACCCTTTCTGATGTTCACACCACCTCTGTTTCTTTCTTCCCCACAACCTCCTTGGACTCCAGTTTGATTCTTCAGGCATAGAGGATTCCATCTTATATTTTGTGACAGAAATAAGCTGCTATACCTTTTTCACCATTGACCTAGATGTTGCCCTCATACGCATCTCTTCTCTTTTTCTCAGGCAGCCGATTTGGATGGGGAAATTGACTTGTCAACGTGCTTCGATGTCACGGAATACTCCGTCCAGCGAAACTATGGTTTCCAGATCCATGTAAGACATGGTCAGACTATACATACAAGTGGTAGACATCTTCTAAATAAGGACCCTGAGCCCATCCCGTCTACAAAGGGATTATAGATGATGAGATAGGTGGTCGTATAAGTCCTGTAATTTAATTAATGGGGCAGCGTTGGTTTTCTTCGTTGCAGTTGTTATGCGACCCAATTTATAGATGAGTAAGTTCCTCAGGCAGTGAAGATCCCATCTCCTTCACAAGGTGTCCTAGGGTTCCAGAAGGAAAATCTGGTCCAAACCCTTCCCACCATCAATGGCCCAGCATGGTTCTCCAGAACCATTCAATATATGGTCTACTATTATCTGAAGTTGGGTGGATGTTTCTTGGAAAGCAGAACCAGAAAAGAACCCGTTCATTCCATTACTTCTTCTGAAAACTCACTTGAGAAGCTACTTCTACTTGAGAAGAGCCGAGGTGGCACAGTGGTTAGAATGCAGTACTGCAGGCTACTTAAGCTGACTGCTAGTTCGGCAGT